TTGACTGGACTTCGTTTATCAAACATGGAAGTTGTACTTGGACCTTCGATTTTGGGTCTCCGTCGCTGGAGAAGCGAAAGGGCAGGGCTTTCCAGATCCGCTACCGCCAATCGTCATGCGTGGAGAGGTACCGTCCGTGACATCATTGAGCTTGGTAAGATCAGGCATGATCACAGTCGTAACAAGTATGTATGCACGCGTAATTAAGTACAAGTATGTAGAACAAGTACATTAAAATGGCCACGAGTTCCTCTTGTGCAATTTCAGAAACCCTCTACCCATTCTTTCCTCAGAAGATCCACAAGCGGAAATGGCTCAATACGATGATAATCCGACACACTTAGCAATCAATGCTGTTGGGCACAACTGCGTACTACAGAATTTATTTGCACTTATGTATATCGCCTCGCAATAAAGCGATGACAGCACTACATAGCTACTTCATCCCACTCCTCTCTGGCAACTTGCATGACCCGAATGCAAACATCAGTAACGGGTATGGTAGAGACCCTATTGCCAAGGGGACAGGACAGAGGGTTGGGGTGGTCACGCTAATGGTTAAAGGTTTGTTATTATTGGAGACGGGTAAGCTGTCGGGTTTGCAAGGCGTGTTTTCACTTTTTGGTAATTTATGTAAGGTGCGCTTTTGTTGATGTAACTGAAAAGGCTCTATCGTTTTGCTGAGGTTATTGCCTAAATTGACGTTACCTGTACTACAACGAAAGGGATGGCGATGGATAACTGGTAAGCCGAACAAACTGCAGAAGTTCTAATCATCGAACGGCATAAAATTTGGGGAATATTCAAACTACTTTGCAATCATTTTATTATTTATAAGGAGTACCTGGTGTAATATTTTTGTTCATCACAGAATAAACAGCAAATATTCGTATTATACAGGAGAAAACCAGGCACGATAGGGTTGCAGAAAAGAAATTCATAAAACTGAAGGTCAATCGTAGTTTTACCTCTCTGGGTAAAACTAGGGCTAGTAGAGCGGGCGCTTAGAGAACCTCTGAAATTTACTCCAAAATATATCATAGAGTTCTGGGAAGGTGTGAATCATATTTCCGAGGTGAAATGTGGGAACCTTGATAATTTCTAGGCCTGTACTACTGTCCTTGTTTGCGTGACACAAGAGTGCTCTGTCGAATTTATTGAAGACGACAACCAACCAACGCAGTTCAGTCCTGACTGCAAAGAATGCATTCAAGGTCCAAGTGCTGGGATATTTACCATTTCCAATCTTTAATAGAATGTATTTTGGGGAGAACAAGTTTGATAGCGTTTCCTTCAAAAGTCTTCTACAACCATTGTCCGCAGAAAGCCCGTTTAATTCCAGGTAGAGAAGCTCGAGAGTATCGTGTTTTGGGAACGGGGCGTAGTCAATTTTCAAGTTATCATGTGAGAAAATGTATAGACGCTGAATATGCCTGCAACCATTTAGTATTTCATGAATAGTCTTGTCACGGAAGCTTCCAAAAGAAATGATTTTCACTTCTTACAGCGACAGAAACATACTCAAGTAGGTTGAAATGTCCTTCGCGGATGGACGGATTTGTGGTCCGAAATCTCGGCCATAAACGGCAATCACCGTCACTTTTTGAACATTTAAGCACTTCTCCTGCAGACGAAGAAGTCCCAAATTGGTTTGATCGTCATTACAGCAGGCCCAAATTATCTCAGCGGACACTTCTAAAGAAATAATGCTTGAACCACACATCTCAATGATTGGGAGGATGCGATATCTGGCAAGAGACGGAAGCTCTTGAGCATACTTAGACTTACTCCCATAATTTCCGGGTGTGCAAAAACGAATGGATAGCCTCCTAATTTCTGAGCCGCGTTGCCGAATTAGGTCTTCCACTGCACTTCGCGTTGGTGTTTCTGTTCTACCTCTGTTAGTTGGAGTTTTAGATGAAAAAGAGAAATCCTGTAATGCGAGGGATTGTCTTTTACCGGAATGGCTTATGTGGACGTACAGATCATGCATGTGGAGCGGATGAAGGACGCAGTTGTCTTCGACAGACATGAGAGAACAGGCAACGAAGTTAACTGTCGCTTCACCGTTATGTGTCATGTAATTGGATTCGCAGTGCAAACGAGGCATGTAGTGTCTGTCCTCGGTAGGAATACAGACTGTGCAAAATTGCGGAGTGCCCAATGGTGGTTTTTTAAGCACGCGATATGTCACAATCCTAGGCAAATTCGAAGAGCTGGTAAGGTATCTCTTTGGAAAAAAATGACCTGGCTCTGTCAGTAGGGTCAACTCTGGGAGTTGCATGACAGACTTCCTTTCACCCAGGAACAAATCAAGCAGTTCAGATGCACGGTGAATCTGAAGGCAATTCCACCGTGGGATCCAGGGCTTATAGAGTTCCCAGTTGCTGGGCCGGCGTCCTAAGCGGTATCGACGGTGAGAGAAGTCGTCGCAGGCCATCCTGCGTACGTCGCCGAAGCTTTGCATCAACAAAAGCATTTCACATGGTGTCAATTTTCCGATAAAGCGGATGGCAACTTCTTCCAATTTTAATTGGGATTCTATGCTCTCCGTGACTTGCGGTCTGCGATTCCTTACTGCAAGAGTTAAGGAAAGAGTCCGTAATCGAGGCATTGGACAATTACTAAGAAGTTCATTCGTCTGTTTAATCGTGATTGGTTGTTTCATGATGTCCAAGGTAGTTACATTGATGAGTCCTTTACTTGTGGGGCTGGAAAGAAGGAGGAGTATTTGAATTATGTCTTTTCCCCGTTCCGAAGCAAAGTCCCAAGGAAAGATCTCGACTCCTTGTGACGCATCTTGGAGTAGAGCGAGCAGCTCGGCCTGTCTTCTCCAGGAGCCTGGGGATAATGCAAGAATGCGGGTGCTCAGTGGATCCCATGATGGCATTAATGTCTGACATTGTAGGCGATCCTTCCTTGGAAGATTGTGACGGATCCTGGCAGCGATTATTGGATTCCATAGGATCTTAAATGGAAAACGTACAACGGGATTACTAATTTATTTTTTCGCGTATGATCCTTTACTTTTTGGTAAGGAATTTGAGCTTATCAGACAATTATAGACGAAACAT